TGGCTCTCAAATTCATCATGACTGTTAGAATACCAGCTGATCAATTTAGTGATGTTAGTTTCAGATCATGCAATCAGTAACCAGATCATTTTGAATAAGTGTGTGGCTGCAAATCCTGCCATCAATATTTTGGCTTTGAACAAAATATATGCCCTTACAAATAGGATCAAAATTACAACAATATTGGAGAAATGTATAGCCATGTTCTTGGATTCTGCATGATACGTCATATTCATTTGAAATTTGTGACCTGCTCAGATTAACAGCGAATTGTCTGGTCCTTCTTTATGAACATACTGTGGAATACTTTATTTTCGCTGGAATTAATTTTCGCTGAAAAGGATTTGTGAGCGTTTTGCTTGGAATTTATTTTCACTGATTTTTCATGAGTTTAATGTGAAATATAGGAAAAAAAGTATACTGTAAAGGGGGTAATTATTCACTGGGTTTTAATTTAGCTTATTTCACTGACGGGAAAATGCGCTAAATTAAAACCCAGCGAATATGTAAAATTTAGCATAAAATACATTATCTAAATGATAAAACCGTGAATTTAAAACCTACTGAATATGCCTGAAATGGTAAATCAGTGAAATTTAAACGCAGTGAACATTAGTCATTTTACAGTATTCGCTGGATTTTATTTTCACGGAATCATCCCTTCAGCGAAAATAGCGAAAATAAATTCCAAGCGAAAATAAAGTATTCTACAGTAATACAAATTTTAAATGCAGATGAAATGCACATATTGGTAAGTATTCTACATACTATAGTGCAATGCATGAAAAAACACAAAATGAATGTTTATAGGGTCTATGTTTTGGCGTATTAATGATATAAACAATATGGAAATTATTTCTTGATTGACATGCAAGCACGTCCTGCAGATGTATGCCCATCGACAATGTTGACCATATCAACATTAAAATATTTGAATTAGAATGAAAACTAGACATTGTTGTTTGCAAATATTTATAAAAACATTAATAAACTAAAGTAGAAATAACTCATTCGGTAAAGATTATAGAGATCCTTTCTAAAGCATTTTACCCTTCATCTTGTCTGAGGTACAACATGTACAGACATATTGGAAAACAATTGTCACATTAGGGTTTAAAGTCCATTGTCAATTTGGTGAGAACAAATTTAGTAAAAATGGCTAAATGATTATTTTTACTCAAGATGTTTACATAAACATAAATAAAGGGTGTAAATACTAAAGTATGTCTACCATTTGTTGACAAGAAAAATGAAAGGGAAGTAACACTGGATAAATAAGAATGCACTCCAAGTAAAATTTACATATCATTGCAGTTATTTCCTATTTGTTCAACTACGAAATTTTTGAAAGCCGTCCCTCCAGGAAGTGTTCTGTTTCGTCCCATGTACTTCCTTGTAGGGTTGGTAAACAAAAGTGCCTGTATATTTACACAACTGACACCACGCCATTGTTTTACAAGGTTTTCACACATTTGGAGATCACTCATTTACAAAGTTTTCACACACTTACAGTTACCAAATTAATCTTAACATTTTTAGCAAAGCGTTATGGTGTGGGGATATTTTTTGAACTTGAACCCTGGAACTTATTAAATTAAATCAACTTTTAACAAACTAAATTAATTGTATTGCCAGACAGTGTTGCAACTTTTTGATTCCGAATCACTTCACTAAGCATGAAAGTCGTGGACAGTATCCGTGGCCTTGCAAATATCACCCATGTGTATACTCATTAATAGAATGAAAAAAATGGTGCAGATACATGCCCATAACACACTTAAAATCAAAAGCCACAGATCGCGTTAATGCTGTCGTGTCATCGTGAGTTCTAATAATAAACAGCGGAGTAAAGCTTATAAATGACACTTTGGTGTGTATGTAGGGCCTGCAATGGTAAATTACTTGGGTTAAAATGTACGCGGAAACAGGGTATCCTCTTAACACGGTCGCCATATTGGTAAAACTCTCCACTGCCTTACTTGGAATGTAAAATACCGCCAAATGAAGGTAAAAGTGATATCTTACCCGTCCCCGACGACAACACACTTTATAGCCTGCATTCCGTCTAAATGTGAAATTTACTGAGTAAGAAATGTGAATGTGTTGTCAGCATCGAGCAGCAAACGACTGTAAACAGAAGTAAATCTCACAGTCCGGCATAGGATAGGGTGTGTAACAAACGCAAAATGGCGTGCCTTTATATACACCCCCTGCGAAGGTTCTAAAAACAGCTCGATGATTTCACAGATATTTATGTTGCCAGCCATTGCGCCCTCAGCCGCCAGGAAGTTTAAATCGTTCGTATACAATGAAATCGTTTTATTTATCCAATGACAAACCATCTGTTTCACAATATTGTTTGTGTTAGGATTGAACTTAACTATAATAGTCATGTTCAGGCTACATCAAGTACGGGCTAAGTCTCATACGTTTGCATATTGGCTAGACCCAATTGCGTTCACACAAGGGAGTAGACAACAATGACAGTACGGTCGACCGGGAACACCTAAAACTTGTTAATATAGGAATCTCCAGTCATTTTAACTATGATTACATTTTCAGTTTGTTCCACGGTTATAAAACAATACCAAAGCAAATTCAGTAAGTGCAAATTGCAGAATAACAGGAAGTAGTACTGAGTCTCATCGTCAGTTCATTATTTTTTGTAAGCGTACGAATACAACCGAACTCGGCCAGATTTCAACTCGGCCAAGAAAAAAATGCACAACTCGGCCAGTTGTGAATGTCGAGGTGTAAACTGGTCATTGGTCAACCATTGTCACCTTCTTTCACGTCTGTTGCCGTGGCGGCATTTTATTTCCAGATGTTATATGCTACACAACATACCCAGTGACGCATCCGTTTCACTGACTGTTTTTGACTAACTCCCGTGACTGTTTTATTGTCGATTTCAACAACGCAAGTTTACATACACACACAAACGCTACTGGTTCTCCGACATGTACAAGTTGTTGATTTCAACATTGGCTGAACATTGTCGATTTCAGTGACGCAAGTTTTCAAAGAAAAAGCTCTGCTATGTAAAAACACTAAAACTAATGTTTCAATTTGTAGCAGTTTTGTATGGCGCAACATTTTATTGTGTGATCCTTAATGCATTTTATTTTTCAGATCCATTACAAAATATTGTGAAGATTTACGAGTTGCATTTAATAAATCACTTCTGTTATAGATAAACTTTATGTTACGGTAAAATAAACTACTAGTATA